TATGTGTTTACACGCATATCATTTGAGGTAGTGTGAAAGGAAGATCTTTGATTCTGTTGCTTGTTACTGTCTTAAACATTCGAATCGTGGCGACAAATTTAAACTTTAAGTACCAGTAGGTACCAGTGGATGAGTGACCTTTAACACACCAACCCCACAATAAAGGCGATTTCTGCGAGTTAAATACATATATTCATGAGAATAATGAACTAGAAGGTATGGAAGTATTACACAGGGTATCTTTACCTGACGTGTGACAAAAATACCTCTTAGCTTCGGACTTAAGTATCAACAGAGTAATTTAACCACATCCTATGCATGTAATTATATGGGTCTTCTAACCCTAACATGAAAATAACCTCAAACTAACTCGAATCAACCCTAATGTCATCCTCATCAGGTTAACCTAACGCTACTCTGTCCTTGGTCTTAACCCCGACTTCATCTTTCCCAAACCTAACCTAAAACTTGCCAGATATCCCATTTAAGAATATGACACTTCATTGGGTATATTCTATTCATGATTACGGTAGTATTTGTAACTTTTCACTAGCTTGCTCACTGAGCGTTTCAGGGTCATTGGTGCTGTCACACTCCGTTGGTGCTTACTGGTGCCTAAAGTTTAACTTCTTCATTTCAGCATCTCATTTTGACTAAAAAGAAGCACTAAATCTCTGTAATTTTCTCCACTCCTTTGCATTTCGAGTGGAACATGATTATTCACTAGCTTTATTCCCAATTTTCCTTTTTTCCATGGCTCACTGTCGGTTTGGATTGGTTTAGGAGTGTATCTACTGGAAATCGAACCCCAGACTACATTTTACTTATTTTTTTATTTTATCTTGATTACAGCTTGATTCCACACTGTATTTTTGGCACTAGTATGGAATTTTCACTATGTGATATCGGTAGCCCAAATTTCGCAGGCCGACCATAGATATCAGGTGTGCGTCGGCAGGGGATCGAACCTCGGACCATGTGCATGGTCGGCGAGAGTCCTAACCACTGTGCCACCGGCGCATATGAGGTGAGGTTGGCCAACATTTTATCCCAGAGAATTTGTGTAGTATACGGGTTTTAAATAAAATACCATCAATGAAAGATAAGATTATCTGGGAGGCGTAACATCAGAATGCAGCGCTAGCAGTACTATGAAAGTGTCATTTCATGAATTTTTATGCTTGATTCTTTATACTCATGAAAACACACTCAGATACAAACTGAGGACTTGAAGTTAAATAAACATTATTATGTATTTCTTCAGTTTGAAAATATTGAGATAACGATAAGTGGTTCAACCACTTCTGTTAACTGTGATTTAATTTTATTCTGAACTTTTTACTACAAAACACTTTAACTTCAAAAGCATTGACAAACACCCTCCATATATCTTTCTTCTTATGACAGTATAGTACAATTAGAAATCAGCAACGTCGTAAGCTGTATTTCTGCTTTATGAGAATGTTATTCAACTACCAAACAGAGGGTCGTGGGTTCGAACCCTAAAGCATGCACTATATGGGTTTGTTTAGCTTGTGTCGTGGGATTAGTCGTAGGATGCTGGCCAGTCAGGTACATCTTCCGGACTCGATTTTCGACGAGGCATTTCTATACCTCGCATTATTTACTGGCCCATTTTGATCTCAGTAAAGACGGAAAGAAAGGCATGGTACTAACAATATCATCTTGTAAAAGTAGCAACACCGTCGCTACTGAAACTCCATAGCTTGAAGATATATGTTCCAACAGGAACCCAGAGGAATGAATTAAACCGAGAATAAAAGTGGTAGTTATTTGTTGTTTGAATTATCTAGGATAATAGTAAAATACATTTAAAATGAAATATTACATCTTGGAGCACATATAATCCTAACCCCGTTTAAAACAAATTTGTTTCGCCCTGCTCGCATTTCCTATACATGTATGTAAGTGAAGAAAATAAATTACATATCAATAATTCAAATCAACATTATTGTTATACACATTGGTCATAAAGTCAGAAACTTTTAAAATCTTCCTAAATAGTACATCCCTGAGATACAATCGGTAAGGTACCGCCAGGTTAGGGCTTTTACTCATTAGTATGCTTTAAAATTTGATTCCCGTGGCAACAAAACATTCCACATTTATAAGAGGATGTGTTCAGTGTCTGCTTGGTTCTCCTTCTGCGTGCGTACATGTCTTTCAAAGTTCTTGCTAGTCTTTTATTTCTTCGTTTTCGCCTTTTATTACAACTAATAATTATGCTAGCTAATCGTTTTGCTAACTTAACTAGGAGGTCTGATACCCGAAGCATCGGAAAGGCATTCTTTTGCAAAATCTTGAAATCAAACTAACTTTCAAGTGTTCAAGCATTCTAGACACTTTTGGATGAAAAGCAGCTATTGATCCCTCTTTAAATCAGATCATTCGCTTCTCAATAATTTCAATAGGGGAGATCAGCATTCATAATGTTTCACTGCAGACAGCATCACAGGATGTCTAATTTGAAAGAAGAACTTCTAACTTTGATATTATGCTTCACACTACCTCATAGTCATACTTAAATAATAGAAAGGTGTATACAGCTTTATTAGAAGACTGCTTATAGAGAAAACAACTGACAAAGGTCTGATCAATCAATTCAAAGATAAACTATTCTCTGTACTTAATCTGCATATATAGCGTTCTGTTTAAGGAGAATTTCGGTTAATCAATAATTCCCAGTAGCTGTCTTATTACAATCGATTACACTAAAACAAATTATATTGTGAATTACATTACAGAAATGTCACTTATATAAGTAAGTAAATTTGGGTTTACATAATATAATCAATTTGTATACTTTCTGATAAGTCAATACCATGCAAAAGGCACAAAGGTAGATGAGAGCAAATACACTAAAATTAATATCTACAGGCTTCTACATAGATTTCAAGTAATTTAAACGGCCAGAGATGGTGAGAATGTTTTATCGGCCAGCAGCTGATATTAAATGAAGACAGAGATTTACCGTTTAGGATAAGGGGATTAAAAAGGAGATTCACAGGATTCAGTTTTAGTTTATCTAAAGGAAACTTGATGAACTATAAAACTTTAGTATCTACTGAGCAAATGAAAAGCTTCATCAATTAGAGGGAACCTAAATACTTTGGAGGTGTTGAATCCTATTGCCTTGGCACTGCATAGGACGAAACATACAACTGTAGACAGCAGGTGTATTGTAAATTTGTAGTTACACTTTCCTGATGAGAATCAATAAAATCAAAATTAGGAGCCAACATCAAATTGCACTTCCCCGTAGCCTGAACATAACAGGAAAAGAGCCCAACTGCTTACAGTGATGCGTTATCCAGAATAAATACCTCTGTCAACACGTTTTCATCACCACTTGTTTTCAGATGGCAGATTTCTTCAGTATTACCTTTCATCTGACAGTTGAATGAGTTAACTGGTCATCAGGTTAACCGAAATATCAGAATCTTCGACTTGATAAATTGTGCTCATAATACTTATTTCTTAAAATAAACCTTTAGTTTTGGTGACTTATCGAAAATTAATTCAAAATCTTCCCTTAGCAAAGAGTGAACGAATGTCTATAAATTGTTTTTTATTTAAAAGCATATCGTGAAAATATAAATTTTTTCAGATTTCTGCAGTGGAAATGGTACGAAAAACGTTTGTAACTAGAAAAGCAAAAAAGTGTGTAAGCTACCATGTCACTATATTACCTGGTATAAAAATGTGTCAGTATGACTTCTCAAATTATAAAATAAACTCAAACAGGTGATGAGCAAGAACAGAATCCCACTGAGGTAAATGTAAAGATATATGTGAGAAGAGAGAATAAATAAATAGATAGATCAGACTCATAATTTAACGTGTCCACATCAACAAGCAAACAATAGTAGCCTCCTCACTCGCTGTAGATCAACAATCAGTCAAAAAATCATTACTAAAAATCCATAGAACAAAACACAGAGAACCACTGCACAGTGTATTTATATACATTTTATCATGGTAATTATTCCCTTGCGTTGCGAGTGGGACATAGGGCTTAAACAGAAAATCCCTATTCTATTTTACTGTCTTCAGTCTGTTTTTTCCCTGGCCTTACGACTACCATAGGCTCCCATCTCCCCCCTCCACACTGTCTCCCTAACGTTACACTCAAAGTGAAGCCTAACTAGACGTTCCTCACTTGGGTTAGACACAAGAGTGTGTATGGGTTGCGACACCATTCAATTGTCTCCACAACCTGTACCTTACCCATTTCTATTTCCTTCTGCATACCTCTTGAGTGATTGGTTCTGGGTTGCCTGTTAGAGTTTCTTTTTGCTAATCCTTTCTTGCTATCTGATCTTTACGATGCAGTAAAGGTAGCTAGCTATTGGTGAACGTTTTCAGTGGCCTTCTGGGAATGCTTTAAGTGAAGCGTTAATCAAGTCTCTGAACTATATATAACAGCTGACTGACTTGACATTGGTTTTGAAAATCCGAATCTTTTTCCTAATGCTATTTGCAGGAGATTTCCGCATAAGGATACATATGCATGCTAGGCATTGAAATGCGGACAATTTCATTGTAAAACTATGCTAAACTACTCAATGAAATTAAACAAACTGATCTTTAATTATTTTATTTTTTATTCTATGCATTCCGAGCGAAATCAAAGGCTTCAACATTTAAAGATGCAATAGCTATGGTGTTATATGTATTTACAGGTGGAGTTGCTACCCTCATGTCTGGGCTTACTACAGGCCAGTAGACCAGACGAAGTTTAGAAGTGCATCGGTCGAGAATTGCACCTTGCTATTTCACGCTGCCAGTGAGCATTCTACTCCTGAATCACCGATGCGTCTAATACGTTTAGTTGAGCCTAAAATATTTATCATACTGGAAAGTATTTGTTCATTATAAGTCAGAACTCATTCAGTTTATCTCACAGTTACTTTACTAATTACAGTCAATAAATATTAAGTAATATTCCTTCGATATTCTATAGTTTACTGAGTACTTACTGTGACTTCCATTTGCATTGGAACCTCTTCATCACTTAACAGTTTAACTTCAACCATAAAAAAACCAGAATTCCCTTCCATATTTTCGTGAGATGAAGCTTTCGTTGGTAACTTCGAAGTTGTATTAGACTTTGGAGTGACTGACCACGTAATAGACGGAACTTGTCCAGAATTATTTACAGACTGAACAATCGAGTCTCTGGCTTGATTCGTGTTCGCGAAACGCAAAACGCTTTGAGATGCATCATTGAGAACTTCACTCTGAGATCTAAAGTTTGAAAGAAATAATAAAAGGATTAATAAATATTATATATACACTATTTTAAAATCCTCTTCATTTCTCTTTGATATTTATCATATGGAAAACAACTTAAAGTTTCCAAGTTACTGTTGTCAACCTTCACTACCGAGAAGATCAAGTATGATTTGGGTAACAAGTGAAAGGTCAGTGGTTTTGGGCGATTATTATTATCATTCCCTTGGGTTTCGAGTGGAAAATATGCCTTCGACAACACATCTCCACCTTGTTCTATTTTCTGACATCCTCTTCATCTGACCCCACCATTCCCCATAACCTTTCATCACTTCTTCGCACGATCTCCTCCAATTCATATCCGCACTCATCGATCCTCATTTAGACTCCACTCAAGCAATGGCCTACATTGCGCACGATGTCATTCGACAGCCTTGTCAATGAATTCCCTATCCATCTCCATTTTTTCTTAAATATTTTTTGAGCAGTCGCCTCTTGTTTGGTTTGTCGCCAGAGTTTATTGTTGCTGCTTAGGACTGTACATAAATGTAGACATAGGATAAGTCTGGTGACAATTCGTCAATGGTGAGTAGCAGTGAATTCTATAATGTCCAAATCTTCCTATTTAGCACTTGTTAATTGAATATAACTGCATCTCTAACCACTGGTGGAATTCAGCGTTTCAAACGTCACAGCCTTATCCACTAGGCCAATCGGCCATTGAATGATATGGTGTTAACCAACGAACATAGTCCTAACGTCCGTACTAGGAGCCGACGTATCGAAATATAAGGAAAATTCCAGAGTAATACAATCAATCAACATAAAATGCAGATAAGCTTTAAAAAATAAAATAAGCTTAGTTACATTCCAAAGTATGAGAATTAATAGCATGAAGTAAACTAGGTGAAAAGGAGCAGAAAGTATAAAGAAAGACATAATAAGACATGGAAATATGAGACAGTTAGGTCTATGATGACCTTATGGCAGACGAGGAATGTACTTTTTTATGCACGCATAAGGCAGATTCATTCTAACTGATTCCAATAGCTAAAGCTATGGTCGCGAGACGTGGTCGTGTAGCTTTAGGCAGATTGTTCGGCACTTCATAAACCATAGTAAATGTCTCTTCTATTTTAATTTAGTGTTCGCTACCCACTAAATGAAATAAAATGACACTGTAACAATCTAACAATAACTTTTAGAATTTTTATGAATAATGCGGAAAATAGTGGCAGACAGTGTTGTGAGGAAAGTGTTGAAGCACATGCGCTCTTATTAGATTTCTTCTGTTTCATTTTTCCAACTAAGGATTTTTACTAATTGGTATGTTTCTGTTCATTACTAGAATTAGATGATTTCTTTTTGTAAAAATGAACCTTTTCTTTTCAAAGTAAAAATTTCATCTGGTTATTTTTACCACTGTAATAAACATTTCTGATAGTAGTTATTTTCTTCGGACAAAACTTTCTGTTGTCGAAATATTAATTCAAGTCATCAGAAAACCACCCAGAAAAGTGATTTCCTAGACTTATGTTCTTAGTTAGATATCGGTTAAATTCAGTGCATTTCAAATTAATGCTACTGGTAAGCGGAAGATTTACCTTGTTCAATTTACACAAACTCCAAAACAGCATAAGATAATAATATGTTTTACAGAGGAAACTAAGGCATCACCTAGTGTTATCACGAAAAACCTCAATCATAGAACCACTGAAAACGAGGAAGTACTAGACGGCCATTTCGTCCAAGTTTTGGAATTCTTTGGCACCTATCACCCCATTCAACAGGGATTGAACTCAGGATCTTCAGGTTACAAGACGAGTTCGTTGACTATTTAGTCAAGGGGATGGAATCCAATGACCTATGAATTTTAACTTCTCGCAGGTGATGATGTTTAGTGGGGAAGGTTATGATGACGAGGGTTCACCAAGTTGGGCATGAGGTTATATGCTTTCCGAAGACACTGGCTGGTGGTCACGCAGTACATCATAAAATTAGAATTCATGGGCCGATCACTAGACTTCACTTCAGTAGCTTAATAGTTATGGAGCTTGCCTCACGGCCTGAAGATCATGGTTTCAATACCAAATGGGAATACATATGCATGTGTCTGAAGAGTCCCGAACAAGGAAAAACGGCTGTCCAGTACTTGCTGGTTTTCACTGATTCCTTAAGTGAAGTCAGTTCATCGTCAATTGATCAAATTCCTGGAAACTAAGACTTGAAAATAACACATATCATTTGGAGAAGTGTATATGACGAAGGAGCTGCCTTTTTTCAGTTGTTCTCTTATCAGATTTTACGTTTGTCAAATAAGGAAGAATCAGTCTGAAGATGGATATGTGCTTTGTATTAGTCGTGGTTAATAAACCTCTCGACATAAATTCATACTCCTGTGTGGTTCAACAGCTATTAGCCTGTTACATCACACGCTAAAGTTCAAATTTAGACATCGAACAGCAGTGAACACACCTTGGTTAGAGTAATTGTGCCGAGAGGTGCATTTTCACCCTTAACTCAGTCTCAACCTTAATCTTTCTTCAACCTAACGTAACCTAAAACTAACCAGGTAATGTTTTTAATATCGCTACACCTCACCCAACACTTCTTCTCATGAATACAGTTTCACTACTTTGCGTTGCACCGTCATTAGTGCGTTTATGCCTGCTGGGTTTCTAAAGTTTAACTTTGCTCATACCCTATGTAAACCCATTTTACTAGTGGATACTCTTCTAAATACCAACCACAGTTATCCCACCACATAGTTCATAGAGTATCTTAGAAATTCTCTGAAAAACAAGTTTCTATTAGCAGCTGCTTATGTATGGGATAACAAGAGTTCGAAATGTGGATCTAATAATTATGTAGAGACACGTTTGCAAACACATAGTATGTCTACAAAACTTCATTTATGCCTATGACCTTGATCTCATTGTAATGTGAACCTTCGAACTTGAAGCTTCTCACTAGACAACATTACGTATAATCACTTCACAACAGTTAGGAGTGTGACAAGTAGTTTCAGTTTTTTTAATTAGGACTATAATATAAAACTGTAGTTTTCAGTTACTTAATTCAGTTTACATTTGAAATTATTTTGCACAACTGAAAATGCATCGCCCATTATTTAACCTGCAAGGAACAAGAACTCAATCATCAAAATTATTCATTATATATACATACATACATACATACATAGGTACACATACGCGTAATGTTTCCCTAATCGATACTTAGATCTTTTATCCTCTGAAATGACCTTATTCCAGGTCATCGAATGGGCAGGGCTTCAAGTATGTGAGTATGAAATATACACATACACATAAATATATATAATCTTCTTTTCTGTGTGAAAGGAAAACTTGGGATAAAAGGCAGAGATTGACTCAATCTCAATTATAATATACATATATCATATAAAAATCTAGTTACACAAAGTACGTCTGTATTGAGTCTTTTCGTATCTATGACAGGTTTACGCCCAAAAAGTTATGTTTACACAAATATACAGTTATACGACTAAAATCTATAATAATAGGTTAAGGTAAATCTCTTCCTCTAACTGTTTAACAATCCATCTGTTGTTTTAGGCATTGTTCCACAAGGATGACACCTATTCATATTGATTATTATTATTATTATTTCGATGGGTAAACAATTATCTATATTTGTGGGGAGAAGTACAGTGTGTATACTGTAGAAACGACAAGTAAATAATTTATGGTCAGACAGTAGGTTTTGCCTCACATGTTAGTTATATGTGATAGAGCAACTCCAATTTATCTAAATTTTAATGTAACGCTATTAAAAATGACAGTTAAACTGAAAAGTAAGACAATGGTATGACATAATCTATGCATACATACATAATCTATGCATTATAATGGGCAGTAAAAAGCTTGAGTGATGACAGAACTTTATTCAGTAGACAACAACGTTATCAGGAACAAACAGGTGACTCTGAATTGATGTCTCTACAGATGCTGCTTGACCAGAAGCAATAATGTGCCTCGGAATTGAACTGTTGACTCTTCTGCACTCTCTTTTTGACAGTCTTGATAGTAATTGTTCATGGGCGCGTTTAGACAATTTCCCGCTGGTAAGGCCTCTGTACTTAACTCCACAGGAGCACACTGAAGTTGCTAACGGGGGAACCTCGTGTTCGACGTTTTGGTGAACGTGAGCCTATGTGGAAAAGATGAGGTGTAGAGACGCAGCGTTAGTACAGACTTCATTCAGAGTCGCATTCATAAAGCACTGGCAAGCCGTCCAAAAGGATATCGCCCACACCTTCTTCATTCAGCAGGAGATTTTGCAAGAGAAACCAGAACTTCGTGTTTGGAAATCTTAGGCTTAGTGTCAATATTTTGTTTTCCTGAACAGTCGTATAATAATAAACCCAATGTATTCCTTTTTTTACTTTTTAATTTTATTTTTGTAACCCATGGCCACTACTGTGTTCTCTTGTTTCCTATCAATTATTTCCAGATGATCATTATTCATCAGTTAACTAATTAGCTGTCAACCCTTGTGGATGCGTAATATTATCCAGGTATTTTCAAATTTCGTTACTACTCATACAATGTGACTTATTTTGTTACTATGTGACAATAATCTCTGGCCTTGGTCGCTAATTAACGTTGTACATACGTACAAATTCTCTAAATAACTGTACCAGCTTTGAAGTGAGTTAACGAAGTCATATCTGTTTGCTGACTGTTGTTTAATGTGCTTTTTTTTATCACACTTTGCATTTACATGAAAATTATTAAAGAAAAATCTTAGCTACCACCAATTTTTTGATAGGGTAGGATTTCAGTAATATCAGTTGTTGGATAGTAATTAAGAAGACAAAACTGATAACGAGATAGTCTAAATGTTTACATAATGTGACTGGTCAGTCATGTTGGATATCTAAGATGACAATACATCCGGAAGAAGATAGACTTAGAATAAGCGAATCATGTGAAAAATAAATAGCAACGCTACGACTCACCATCGAATAGAGCATA